CTTTTTCCACCAGGCAGCTTTCCAGCCACTCTTCCCCGAGCCTGTAGCACTGCATGGGGTTGTTGTGACCAAAGTGCAGGACCCGGCACTTGGCCTTGTTGAACCTCATACAGTTGGCCTCAGCCCATGGATCCAGCCTGTCCAGGTCCCTCTGCAGAGCCCTCCTCCCCTCAAGCAGATCAACACTACCACCTTCTGTAAGTTTATAAGTCTGTTATCTTCTGTAAGTGGGAGAATGACCGAGAAATCACTTTTCCCTATACATTGGAGCTCTTCAAGCCAGATTTGTATTATAGAAGCCCTGTTTAAAACAGGACCAATTTGAACTCTGAACACACCATAATGAGATCTATGTAGAAAAAACAGGACTCTCAGGATTTTGCCACCACACCTGTGCTTGTAACACAGTCTCAGAGCAAAGCTTCAATTTTCATGCAACAATTTACAGGCTAAAAACTAACCTAGCTTTTACAAGGCAGCAACACATGGTCCAAAATGTCAGCTTTAGTTTCAGAAAAATATAGCCTAGTAAAAAAACAAGTCACCGTTTTGTTAGAATTTCAATCATCGTACCTTCTTCATCCGAGTTCTCCTCTTCTGTGATTACAGGCATCCCAATATGCCGAGTAACAGTTTCCTTTGCCACTTGCATTTCACCTGCAGGTAGATTTTTTTTTTTTTTTTTTTTTTAGAAAAAACTGTCATCATTTTTTTTTCGTTTTTTGTTTCTACATCTCGGGTCCAGCAGTTAAATGACTGTTCACTTGCTGCTCTCTTGACTTCCTAGTCAAAGGCTGTGGAGAAACACCTACGTTTCACAGTACCTCCATATGGCTCACTAAAGAAACCTTCAATAACAAGTAATTACCACTGTAAGTTTAAAGCATACTAATCACCAACTCAGTCCAGAGATAATTCTAAATGCCCTTATTCCTCTTCAACACTTCATCTACTGTTTTAAAGTGAAGCAAAGGCAACATTGCCTAATGCCCACCTCTGAAGAGGGTTGAATTTTTCAGTAACTTTTTTTCTAGCAGAATCTAAGTAAGTCAGAAAACAGAGTTTGGAACTTCAAAATGAAATCCCTGTCTTCCTAACAAAGTTAATTCAAAACTATTTTGTTGTTCAATTTCATTTAACCTTTAATAAATAATAAGTAAATGAAAAACTTAAACAGCAGAGCAAATTTCTATCAGTTTAGAAGTTGGATATCAGAAAGATTATTTCCTTCAGGGGAGTAATTTCCCATGTTTTCAGAACTGGGAGATAAAGAGATCTAAAGAAAGTCTTGAAAGATGAAAAAAAGACACGTAAGTTGGGATGTGCAAATACCTAGAAAATAAAACTCCACCAATCCAGATGACATAAATGCTATGATAGAAAAACAACTAAATCAATCACTGGTCAGTTCAGATATGCCAAAGATCAGCAACACGAGACAGGATCTCTCCAACAGAGACCTGAAATAAATAGCTGATCTCCCTCTCCTTCCTCACGTCCTCTTTTGATCTAGCAAAGTACCCTCACACCAGGTCTTTACATCAAAATGAGTCAGTCCTCAAGTTCTGAGCCCTGATCTCTTTCAAAATATATTAACATAAATGATGACACCATACAACAAGAATCCATATAATTGGCTAATCCTTCAAGTTCTTGGTCTCAGCATCATACTTTCAACAAAATTCACAAATAAAGGAAATGAAAAAGATACTAACTTAGCAGCTTTGGACCAAGTAAGTCAATTTTTTTGAAAAAAACTTCTGGTCTGAGGCAGAAAGGACTTCTCAGTCCCATTTGCTTACTTTTAAAAATGTTCACCATATCCTCACTTACTCCATTACATTCTGTTTGTACTTGCTCTCTCTATACACAGCCATTCTTGTCACCCACAAAATTCTATCCTCTCCACAGCATTCAAGGGGAGATTTAATATTCCATAATATTTCCTGTTGAAAGTTTGAAGTATTTTTCTGACTACATTAAACAAGGGCTTTCACTGAGCACATACAGGGACATCCCAAAGCTTCTTATACCAGTATAGATAAACCAGAACCATATCAAGTACAAGCAGTTAAAAGTATTTCCTTCCAGGGTGCACTGCAAAGTAAGAAAAAGGTACCTGTTTTTTAAAAGTTTACTCCTTAAATTTTTTTTTTTTATTCATAGCTAAAACTATAATGCTCAGGAGAAATAAAATAGAATTAAAGAACAGAACAAAAAACAATTCACAGGTGTATAAAAAAACCTCCTGTCAAGAAGGGAGAAGTTAAGTCTAGCTATAAATGAAACAAATCTAGAACCGTTACGATGTAATAATTGCAATACTGAGATTAAGGAAACAATTTCATAAGAGTTTTGAAACTACATCAGTTGTTGACAAAAGATTTGAATTCACATGGAAGTACTAAACATTTCAGTAACAAAAGAACAAAATAAATAACGAGAATCAGATGGAAGGAGAATGACTGATGTGATAGTGTAGGTACTAGTCTTACAAAGCAATCATCATCATTAAAACATCAATATCATTTTCTCTTCACAAGTATTAGAGGCTATTCCTTCAAGAGCTCAGGACCAGAACAGAAACAGGCAAGTTTCTCCCAGAGGAGGGCTACAAAAATGATCCGAGGGCTGGAGCACCTCTCCTACGAGGACAGGCTGAGAGAGTTGGGGTTGTTCAGCCTGGAGAAGAGAAGGCTGCGGGGAGACCTGATTGCGGCCTTTCAGTACCTAAAGGGGGCCTATAGGAAAGAGGGGGAAAATCTTTTTAGTAGGGCCAGCTGTGTCAGGACAAGGGGTAATGGTTTTAAACTAAAACAGGGTAGGTTTAGACTAGATATAAGGAAGAAATTCTTTACAGTGAGGGTGGTAAAACACTGGAACAGGTTGCCCAGAGAGGTGGTGGAGGCCCCATCCCTGGAAACATTCAAGACCAGGTTGGATGGGGCTCTGAGCAACCTGACCTGGTTGGCGGTGTCCCTGCTCCCTGCAGGGGGGTTGGACTAGATGACCTCTAGGGGTGCCTTCCAACCCAAAACATTCTATGAGTCTATGATTCTAAGTTTTACCTTGGATTTCATGAAGATAGTATGAACTTATCAAAATTATCAGATAGGCTGATTTCCATCAAAAAGATAGCTTCAAAAGCAGAAGCTATCTGTCAGAAGAAGACACAGTTAGACACATATCTTAATCTCCAGTATGTCTGCTATATTGCCATAGGAAAAATTAAGATGCTGCCACACAGGACGTGCTTTTCCAAATTCATGCCTTTCCAGAGAAATATTAGCAGAGATATGTATGAGACTTCAGATTAAACAATATACTGCATGCATTCATGTTGTCTTGCTACCTGATCAGAATGCGGAAAACAGACAAAAAAGTTCAATTATGACAGAGGTATCACAAAACATTCCTTTAATCTTCCACCTCCACTGATCAACAGTAAAATTTAACCCAGCTAGCTCAGCTAGCAAAGCAATGCATAAATTTTTTCAGTCTCTCCAGGTTCACGAATGCAATGGAGAAATACCTTTGATTTCCAAAGAATTTCTGCTCCTTGCTGGCTGTGTTCTCCTACTGTTTTTTTTACTTCGGTTTGGAGATTTTCCATAATTCGATCCTGATTCAGAAGATTCTAATTTTACTTGACGATGTCTTCTGGATTTGGAAGCCTAGAACCCAAATGTACATATGAATGACACAAAAAAGCTAAACTTCTATAGCCAGATATTACTGTATGTCACCCAGTACTTTACAAGTCAGCAAGGACCAAAGCATCAGCTTCCACGTCAGGGTGGAGAAGGGCTGGAAGGGTGGAGGGCATGTCAGGGCGGAGGGAGGGAGGATTCCCACCAGTTACTGTCCTTCAGTGTTAACAGGAGAATGCCCTTCTGTGATATAATGGGTGTATCACTTAAAATTCAGGTAATGAAACATTCATTCATTTTCAAACCATTCTCTGTTGGCATCAACCTACACCATGTTCCACACTGGGGTGTGCAAGCAAAAGGAACACTTCTAAAAACTGCTGTGCCATAAAGCCTCCTTGCTGTCTTGTTTTGCTTAGGTGCCTAGAAAACAGTAGCACTGCATATTCACAAGTCTGGACTGTTGTACATTCCAGAGCTGTTTCATTTAACAATGCACTTCTTAATAAGAGATGTTAATAAACAAGGAAAGTTGTGATGTTTCTCATAGGCCTGCTATAAAAAAAGACAAGTCAACAGTATTTTTAAAGTAGCGGTTATTAAAACACTGTTTCCAAGAACTTCCAACTGACTTTAAACCCCCAAGTTCCATTTTCACAAGCATCTTCAGAGATTCCAGTATCTAAGCTTCAAGGAATTTGGGCAATTAAACTCGCAAATATTTTTATTCCACCTACTTAAAATTCCACTTACTTAAATGGACCATAGACATTGAAAGATACCTTGTAAATTAAAATCCCCCAAGCATAGACTGTATCTGCACTATTTCCATAAATCTAACAAGAATAATAACAGCTTTGGGTTTCCCCAATGTGTTAGGAAAACCAGAACATTCAAAGGTTGAATTAGAGACTGCAATTTTAACTCATTCCTTTCTGACCCAGCATTTACATTAAACTGGTACTTAAAACTGTTCTTTAAAAATAAATACATCCCTATCATCAAATTTTACACCTACCTCAACAACTGCAGAGTAAGACTTATATTTGATTCTAGCCAGCGCACTTGCTCTTTCAGAACCCTGCAAAGAAACAGAAATCAGTCAGAAAAAATTTTCATAGCCTATTATAGCAGTACTGAAATATCACATCAGACAATCACTTGAGCAATATCTCACTACAGCTGTAATTTTATAATTATTTCTATATAATTAGAATGCTGCCAAACTGTTACTTAAGAAAAAAAAGTTCAAATTTCATTAAAAAGGCAGACCATAATTTTGGTTGCCTTCACTGTTACAAAGCCCGAGAGGAGAAAAATCAAATTTGAAACTTCACATCTTACTCAAAGTTGAAATAAGCAGATAAGTACAACATGAGACAATTTTGTAACATAAAAAAAAAATGGATATTGCACTTAGTTGAAACTCCAGGAGGAACCATAAAGGAGTTTGGCCAAGGAAATACAGCTCTTTCCCCTCCCTACCTAAAAGAGACTTTTTACTACAAGCATCTAAGAACTATCACAGCAGTGAATGCTCACAGCTTAACAGAAAGCAATGCGATTTAAGAACACAACCAAACAAAACGCAAAAATTCCCACAACACAACCAGCCCCACTAGCTATTCCTGGAACTTACTTTGATGCTATGAAGCCTTGACATATACTGCTTAGCCTGTGATCAGAAGTCAAGAAACTAATGGATTTGGCCTGCACAACATAGCAAACTAGTCCATTTTCCTTACCTCTGATTCTAGAAAAGTCCCTTCTTCCTTTCTGTTTGGTATTTCATCTGTTTCTTTAGCATTTAGGAATAATTTCTGAAAAAAAACAAACCACCCACAAAGTATTTTTTTAAAATGTATCATATACAAGGCAGCTAAAATCCAAAAACTGTGAAAAACAAACCAAGAATTTACACATGCGCCCATTTCCCTCAGCAATCCTACACTATGGCCTTCCCTTGATCCAAGAATAAGTGTTACAGAGGTGTTTCATATGGTCATTCTAATACTGCCCACAGGTCACATCCTCCAGAGCTTACCTCTCAGCAATCACTTATGTTATCATAGAAGCAGTACCAGGTGTAAGTCCACATCCGTCTCCCCATACCGTAACGCTGCCTAGGGTTTTACTCATTCCATGTCTTCAGTGTTGCAGCTCCTTCTACTTAAGTCTGAGATTTACGAAGTATGTGCACAGGTAATTACACTAAGACAGTCAGTTCTTACATAATCACAAAACCTGTTAAGTTGCCGCAGCACAATGGTTGGTATTACCTACCATTCTATTCTGCTGCCATTCCTGATATTCCAAGGTTATGTCTTTAAGAGTAACTACAAATTCATCTTTTATCAAGCTTAGGGCCTTGTCTGGCTGGGATTTGTCAGCTGAAATGACACACTTCATTTTCTGATAGTGGTCATGAATATTCATCAGTTCCTAAAATAAAAAAAGAGACTCTTTTTCAGGAAAAAAAGATTCCAGCAGTAAAGCAATTTTAATACTCAATGAACAAAACCAGGGTTATACAAACCACTCTAAAGAGACCACTGAACTAGCAGTTCAGTGCTAGTATCAGAAACAGATTCTGTTTATATCAGTTCAGCTTTAGGGAGTCTAGCAATACTGCTGCCTAGCACTGTCCCATCAGTCCATCAAATCAGCAGAAGAAGAAAGAGTACCTTGCATTATTTAAACTAAGCAGGCAGTCTCAGTGATACTCAGGATCAGTGTTCATAGAGCTTTCATTCTGATATGGTGGTCTATTTTCACCTCTGTGTTCCTCCTTTTGAGGAAGGTCTTCTCACCTTGTCATTTCACAGATTACTGATTTCTGTACCACTGTAGTCAACCTTACTGGTGATATCTATTTGCTAGCAGCAACTGGAAAGACTTGTAAACAAAAATCTACTACTGAGTCATAATGAGCAATGTAAGAACCTATACTTGGCTTGAACTACTCCATTTTTTATAAAATATAGTATATATTAAACAAAGCCAAGTTTTAAAAGGAGAGATAAAGGTTAGAGAAGGCTATAAACTCGCAGATGAGTAAATTTATATCACTGCAAGTATCAAACCTGCAACCTGCATATGTATCAAAACAAACATGCTTCCCCTCACCCACTGTTTTCCATTTTTCTCTGCCCAAATGACAATTGGCCATTTATACCCTCCCCTTTTACATCGTACTGAGGCAAAATCACAAAACATTAGAGCATATTTCAGTATTGAAAAAGGTACCACAATTCTTCCAAAATAAATACTGCGTTTCTGATTGTTCCATAAAATTGCTTGCACAGACTATTACCTTAGTCTGCATTCCGCAAGAAGACTTACAAAGGACAAGACTGTGCTAATTAGAGAAGTTATAGCTCTTGGACAAGAGAAGAAGAAGAAAAACAAAACAAAGAAAAAAACCAGTGATTAACATGTAGTTTAAAAGTTCCTGTACCTCCAATACATCATTAGTGATCAGGCTGTTTACTCTGTTACTCGGGTCCTTAAACTCCTCTTTAAACTCGTTTTCCTGAATCTTCTTCTTAGTTCTATAGTTTAGCTAAAGGAAGAAACAATGCTTTGTAACTTAAACAGCAAACTTAAAACGGCATCTCCTCTTGAAAATTCTTACCGCCTATCCACCAAGAGATGCTGAAAGGCATAAAACCATCTCATCAACAATAGCATGCAGCTTTACTGTCAAGTGCTCAGTCAGCACTTTTCAAAAATTACTCCCTAGTCAAGAATTTAATCCAGCACCCAGACTCAAGAGTTTGACATTTCCACAAATTAGAAGACATCTCAAATCTAGTAAGAATATTAGATACTGAAAAAAATATTTTCAGGCGAGAAGGATGCTACATTCAAACATCCTCTAAGCTTTATGTCATGTACCTCGCTACATAAAGCAAGAGATACTACATTTCAATATAGCATCAAAGCTAAACTAGACACAAGTGCTGTTGAACTGTCAGCCGCTGAAGGTATTTTATTAAAAATGGCAAGTCATTAATGTCATAACTCACTAGCTTTGGCATTGCTGTGAAATGGAATGCTCTGGCAAGTCGCAGTGTCCTAAAAATGTATGCTGCATCGTAATGCTGGGAGTTTATCAGATCCTGTTGAAATCTCTGGATTTCAGGCCAATCCTTGAGTGCGATTCTGATCTGCAACGAAACAGTTGTATACTGTCATACTGACCTGCACATTTCAACAAATGAAGAATTCAGCTGACTACTGTGATCACGTTATACTATGCACAATACTTGGATGCCTAGGGTGTAACACGCCACATGATCACAGAACTACAGAAAGTAGTAACAAATGTTACAGTAGGATCCTATCAAAATTTTAAGCAGATAAGCTTATTATGCTGTTGTTAAATATGCTCACTGCAGTGGCTTTATCTGACAGCCACATGGAACACAAGCCCTCTGACACTTCAAAAAGTTAACTCTTCACATTCTGAGATGCCAGAAACGATACACACCTAGGAGACTCTCATTCACTAGATGATTAGGAAATAACACCTGTACCATCATTTGCTGCTAGTGAAATGTTCATAGAAGTACCCCGTCTTCCTGCTTTCCTTCCTCTCCCACGTCCTCTGCCCACTTCATTTTCTCTCTCCATTAGCTTCTTTGATAATTCCCGGACTCTCTAACAGTTGCTGTATAGCAGTGGTTTTGAAATTGTCTAAGTTTATCTCCATAAAAGGTACTGACTTCTTTGAAGTTAAGATATGAGATGTAATGGCTTCATTGTAGATCACTGCAACTTCAATTTCTTATTTAAAGAATTTGGACTCAATTGTGCATAGGCACACAACATACAGCACCCAGTTTCCAAGTAAACCACTTCCCTTCACACTGAGTTTCCAACTCCTTTATATGCTGGTCTCCTGTCCTGGAGCAGCAATGTCATTCAGGCGTTCACTCTTTCAGCCTATTTACAAATTCCACTTCTGGGTAACAGGAGCTGGAAATAATTCAGGCGGTCTTCATTCTGTTGATATTCTAAGGAATAACTGGGGCTGTAGTGGAGTTCTCCACAGAACTGATGAGCACATTCTCTGTTCCCCTTTTGAAAGCACGTCTTCCTCATTTTTGAACAGAGATGAGCTTCCTGTCTGCCAAACAAGACTTCCAAGAGCACAGCTACAACTTAGGAGGCACACACAATATTTTAATTACCGCCATGTAAGTTCTCAAGCCCAAAGGCGTCTGAAAGGCTACCTTTTCCAAAGGGATAGTCTGGTTCTAAGTACTTTTACTTTGAGAAAGGAAGAGTAAATGCCCTACCCTTTTATGATGACAGGTAGACAGAGTTATATAATTTACTTCCAGTATCTCCTGGGAATAACACCTCGAGAACAATTACCTTTTGTTTTGGCTGGCAAAGCTGCGTACTATAGAGCCCATACAAAAGGTACAGAGCTCCAACTCGAATCTGGAAAGCATACGGGGGCAAGAAGTACTGCTGTGCCAGTTCCAAAGTCTTCTTTGTGAGCTTATTCCTCTCCAAAGCTCTTATTCTACCACTAACATAAACAAAAAGGAAGCACGTTAAAGCAAGTAACTATGAAAGCGCAGGCTTTAGAAAAACTGTAACACAGAAACAAGTGTTAGGTGTTTTAAAACATATTACCATAGGGCTCAAATTCTGGGAAGTCTTCAAACATGGCCAGACCTTAAGCTCTCACACAGCACTGCACGTAATTCCTCGTATTAAATTAGATGTAACGTGAAAAATTAAATACCCTACAATCATTATTTTTAGTCTCATATCACGCACATTGCATCAAAATCCCTGAAGGATCAGTGTTCAAATCGCATGCATTACTAACGTACAAAATAAATTGAACCAATAACTGGTCTTCAGTATTACAGAGGGACCGACGCTTCATTGCCATTTACCTACACACCGGGCGGGCAAGCCTTCCCCAAGAGCTCTGCCTGAAGGGAAACAGGGCTCCCCGGCACCCCGCTGTAAGGCCCCCGCACTACCAAGGGGCAGGCTCAGCAGCGG